AGGTCCCCTCGCAGCCTTCTCTTCTTCAGGCTGAACAAGCCCAGCTCCCTCAGCCTCTCCTCGTAGGGGAGATGTTCCAGTCCCCTCACCATCCTCGTAGCCCTCCGCTGGACTCTCTCCAGTAGCTCTTCATCTCTCTTGAACTGGGGAGCCCAGAACTGGACAGAGTACTGCAGATGAGGCCTCCCTAGGGCAGTGTAGAGGGGAAGGAGAACCTCCCTCGTCCTGCTGGCCACACTCTTCTTGATGCACCCCAGGATCCCATTGACCTTCTTGGCAGCCAGGGCACATTGCTGGCTCATGGTTAACATGTCGTCCACCAGGACACCCAGGTCCCTCTCCACAGAGCTGCTCTCCAGCAGGTCCACCCCAAGCCTATACTGATGCATGGGGTTGTTCCTCCCCAGGTGCAGGATCCTGCATTTGCCTTTGTTGAACCTCATCAGGTTCCTCTCTGCCCAACTTTCCAGCCTATCCAGGTCACGCTGAATGGCAGCACAGCCTTCTGGTGTGTCTACCACTCCTCCCGAGTGGGCGCTACGTAGGCCATCAGGAGTCTTACTTTGGTCCTGTGCTGCTCGGGTGTGTTTGCTTGAGGTTAGGTTTCTTTCTCTCAAAATCTCTCCTGTGGGCTGGAAGCCTGTCCCACAGATAGTCTGGTCTTGGGTTACAAAATGGGTGATGATTCCGAAGTCACACATGGCTGCCAGAATTCTTGGCTTTGCAATGTTGTAAGTGTCTACTTCCCCTTCTGCTTTGTGGGTTTTGTATTAAACACACTTCTGTATCTCCATGTCTTAAAAGAGAGGGAACTCATCAGTCACCTTTATCAGTTATTCCCCCTTTTCCTAACAGGAATCTCGTACTTATTTCTCATCCCTTCGGTAGTACTCATTTTTTCATCTTTCTGTGCACTACTTGCAGAGGAGCCACTCCAGTGTCTGTGCTGAGGTGACAGGGTTGAGACGCATACATGTGAGAGATGCTCTTCTGTTTGATGCCCAGCACGTACTACTGCTCTGAAGGCTGAGAGCCTCTCCAGGCAGTACAGAAGTCAATGGGAATCTTGTCACGGACTTAGTGGGAATTCAGTGACAAACTTAATCTTGATGAGAAATACTGTGTAACATGGTTTGGAGCATCTACTTCTTGTTTTCGTTACTTTTATGCGATGTTTTTTTAAAGAGGATGAACAAAGGTTGTTTAAATAATCAAATTATCAGGAGAACTCAATCCTAGAATATAGGACTATAGTAACGGTCTTTTCATGTTAATAATTTGCTTTCCTGCTTCTGAAATACCAACTTTACTGTTCTTACTGCATGCAGATTGAACCCTCTGACATAAATGCTGTGACTCTAAATAAACTTTCAAGTAAGCTTCTCCTTTTGTATCTCAGAATAGAATAAAACAGAGTTCTGTCTGAAAAGACTAAAATTTTTTTTTCAATGAAAAAGGTTACAGGAAAGCCTCTGTTTTTTCTCTGCATGTATAGCCTCTGAATCAGTTCACGTGGTTTCGCTGCCATCGAGGAGCTCCCAAGGACGGAGCCAACCTGTCTATAGATCGTCTTTAGCTAAAAGAAAAGTCACAGGTACGTTTCTTTGACATCTGCTGTCAATTCATAGAGACATTTGAACACAATGAGACAGCTTTGTGATTTTTAGACTGCAAGTTCTCTGGTGCTGGAGCTCCTGGGTTTTTTTCTGTGTATTAAAGAGCTTGATGGATGACTCTGATTTCTTCTCGAATTAAGCAGGATTAATAAAATGATACAGCTCTGCAACATGGTTGATTTGGTTTCTGTTATTGGGGTTTTTGTTTTGGTTTTGTTTTTTTTTTTTTAATCTCCTCCTCTCTAGCTATTGGCAAATGTTATGCACTGCAATAACCTCGTGGGAAGACTTGATTAAATCAAAGCCAGGACCTCCACAGCATTATGCCTTCTTGTCATATCTCAGCCCCCTTTTCTGAAGGGTTGATTTCTGGAAGCCTAAAGCTGGTCAGCAAAAAGTTTTCACTTTCTTTTGGAAAGAAGGCATTACGTACTGCTGCCAAGGTTAGAATCATAGAATCACAGAAAGTTTTGGGTCGGAAGGGACCCCTAGGGGTCATCTAGTCCAACCCCCCTGCAGTGAGCAGGGACACCTCTAACTAGATCAGGTTCTCTATTAAAAAGATTGTCCCCATCTTTCCTATAGGCTCCCTTTAAGTACTGAAATGCTGCAATCAGGTCTCCCCGCAGCCTTCTCTTCTCCAGGCTGAACAAGCCCAACTCTCTCAGCCTGTCCTCACAGGAGAGGTGCTCCAGCCCTCGGATCATTTTTGTAGCCCTCCTTTGGACCCGCTCCAACCGTTCCATGTCCTTCTTGTGCTGAGGGCTCCAGAGCTGAACGCAGTACTCCAGGTGAGGTCTCACCAGAGCAGAGTAGAGGGGCAGAATCACCTCTCTCGACCTGCTGGCCACGCTTCTCTTGATGCAGCCCAGGACACGGTTGGCCCTCTGGGCTGCCAGCGCACATTGCCGGCTCATGTCCAGCCTTTCGTCTGTCAGTACCCCCAAGTCCCTCTCAGCAGGGCTGCTCTTGATCCTTTCATCCCCCAGCCTGTATTGATAGCGGGGATTACCCCAACCCAGGTGTAGGACCTTGCACTTGGCCTTGTTGAACCTCATGAGGTTCACTCAGGCCCACCTCTCCAGCTTGTCCAGGTCCCTCTGGATGGCATCCCATCCTTCTGGTGTCTCAACTGTACCACTCAGTTTGGTGTCATCTGCAAACTTGCTGAGGGTACACTCGATGTCGCTGTCCATGTCATTGATGAGTATATTGAACAGCACCGGTCCCAGTACGGACCCCTGAGGGACTCCACTCGTCACTGGTCTTCATCTGGACATTGAGCCATTGACCACTACCCTTTGGCTGCAACCATCAAAGGGTCCTTAAAAAGGATGAGTGAGATTGAGTAATCTCCATGCCAGCACGACTTTCTCACCCCTTTGTGTTGCGATGAGGATGCTGTGGAGCTGGCAGACTGTTTTGGATATTTTGGTGGTGATGGAGAACACCTTTGTCAGAACTGAGAACCATGGTGTATTGAAATCTCACCTCACACCTTTCCTGGGGAGCTGATGCCATCCATTTCCCATGCTCACTGTCCCTCTTGAGGTGCCCCTGTTGCAAAACTTTGTGAATAGTTCCCCTAAGCCACTTGTGAGTACCAGATGGGTCCTCTTAGCCGCTTTTCTGTAGTAGCTGTTTGTCTTGGAAAACCTGGAATTGTCTGAGAACCCTCTGCATTAAAAAACTGATTAGAAGAAGTGAAATGTGCTTCCTTGCTTTCCTTATGCGTGGGCGGTGCTGGGTTTCAGGGTGGCATGCCACCTGCTGATGAGAAGGGCTGTCTTTCCCTGGACTTCAGTCATATATGAGTAAGGTCCCTAGAGAATGAGATCGTCCTCCAGTGTTGTGGCCCCTTTCCTTTCCTGAGACATCAGTGTTCTTCCAATGTTAGTCTTCTGTAAAGGCTGCGAAGTTGTACCTTGTGTGTTCTGTGCCTCTGGGAGACTTGGGTGTAGTTGCTGTGATGCTAATAGGAAGAGTAATAAATCTTTCCTGGGGCAGTAGGTAGACTAGACTGGAAAAACTCTGATGGACAAACAGGAAAAGAAGCCTCATCAAAATTAAAAACCTCAGAAAAATCAAATTGGTTTCACTTAATTTTAAAGTTTTGTAAATTATTTGCAAAAGATATTCTGGTATACCAAAACAGCCCACTTCAATGATTTAATTTTTTTTTTCTTTCAGTGTGATTTTTTTTTTTTGGCCTTATATACCATAAAACAGTGAGAAGCTGAATTCAAACAACCTGTTTGAAGCACTCAAAAATGTAAAATATGCAGGAATTCTCCCTTGTGAAGAATTTTTATCACTTCAAAATGATACCAAATTTTAAAATCTCCACATTTTTCATAAGACAAAATTTCTGCTTTCCAGAAAACTATCAATGAGTTTGCCAGAGATGATGAATGTCACTATGTTAATCAGACATTTGCCATAAGTCACAGTTTGGGGACTGATAGAATATTGAAGGACTGTAGAATATATTAGTACTCTGGTCTTGTAAACAGACAATTAACAGAAGAAATGATGATTCCATGGGTACCATCAGTAAGCAGTGTACTTGGTTTTCCAATACCGCTGTATTTGTTATTCATTTGTGCTCTGTGCATATTATAACATCAGTTGAAGACAGTTACTGTTTTTTATGACAACTCAGATGTTGTTATTGACATGCTGTTTTGTTTTGCCATTTCAGAGGAGGAAGAGGTGGAGCTGGCACAAGACATAACTGTTCGAGTTATGTCCTCTCAGTCTGTGCTCGTTGCTTGGACAGACCCACTGTATGAAAAACAGAAGGTTGCAGCAAATAGGTAGTTAGCCCTGTGTTTGCTTTCCTGAGTGCATACTGAACATGAACTGCTGCCAATGCACTACTGATTGCTGTTGCATTTATTTAATTACAGGTGGTTATGAGAATAGTTTAGCTTAGGGCATAGGAATTTGTGTATCCCTACGTATGACAATGGCTGGTAGGCGATGCTTCAGAGAAGCTGTTAGAAACCTGACGTGGGTGGATGTGGGGTGATGTACCCTCCTTGCCTCCCTGCACCCTGGTCTGCAGTATGTAGAGGTCTGTGCTGGACTGCAGATGTTTAGATCCCTTCTGAAATGTCATCAGCACCAACTGGGGATATTTTGCTATTCGAATGCTGGTGTATCACCACGGTCAGCAAATCTCCACGCGTGCATGGTGAAAGAAGGGGTGGGGGACAGGGCACAGCCCACAGGGACGAGATGTTGAGCTGCATTGTCAGAACAGACTGCAGCTTGGACACAACCATACAGTGGGTAAAGGAAGCATCACTGCAATGGGAAAGGTGCCCGTCAGTGCCCCATGCATCCACTGACCCTCCAGAAACCCCATGCAGCTGAGGCTGGGCAGGTCAGGGGCTCCTGTGAGCAGGAGAGCTTGGCTCGCAGCAGCACACCACAGCAGTTGGAGACTGAAATAAACAGGGAAACAGGCTGGAAGCTGCCAAAGATCTGAAAGTACTGAACTGTGTGGCTCAGCCTGGGAACACTGGAGCACTGTGCAACCTTGTGCTGAAACACCCCAAGGGGCACCGTAGGAAAAGTGGTAATTTTAGATGCTCTCAGTTTCCTTGTGGAAGTCGTGCTCTGGGCAGACATGTGGGAACCGAGCTGCCAGTGCTGCTCTGGGGGACGAGGGGCTCCCAGCCATCCAGCTATGCTAATGGCCATGGGGCAGTGAGATGGTGGGGTGGAGCCACCGGGACACCTGGCTTGGTGTGGAAAGCCCTGCATCTTCCCCCCGGGGTAGGGAGTGTTTTCAGTAAGAGACTGGAAAGAGGGGCAG